AGGGAGTCCAGCCGGCCGGCCGGCCCCCCACCTGCCTTTTCAAGCGAAATAAAAGGTATGCCAATAATAAATTAACATTAACACAATAATAAACAAAACTCGGTTGGATGCGGACATCGAGCGATTAATTAATATAATTCTAAAGCCAAAATATAGCCCCCTTCCAAAAGAACCTAAAGCAATTATGTTATGCAAACCAGAGATAGGGATAGTGGCAAAACTTTGGCCTGGCTACCTGTGAGATTAGACAACTGCAGTCTCAGCAACCCAAGCAAAAATCAATGTAACGTGTATTAATCAAATACTAAAACAACATTGATTTATTTTTGCCCACATATTAATAAAAATTTGAGCATATTGCATTGCACTGAGAACAAAAAAGTTAAATTACCTTTTCATAATCTTTGGCTGGATCTTCCACTTCAGGACTATCCTCGTTTTCGTCTATTATATCATCTTCATCCTTAGCACTATCGTAATCTGAGTCTTCGTCAAACCTAACTTTTTTAATTCCCCGTCTCCTTCCCAAGGTATCTCGAAGAAACACCCCATCCTCATTCGCTTCGTTATCAGTATCTTCTTCTTCACTATCCTCATCGTCGTCATCGTCACCATCCTCACTATCCGAATTTCCATTCAATTTATGCCGAGACAATTTCATGTTAGTTTGTTCCTGCTGACGTGACTCCATCTCTTCCCTAGCACGTGAGTCAGCAGCCAGAATGGAGTTAAAATCCTCATCTGGTGCCCAAACGCCCGTGGTGAAGAGATCTGCAATTAGAATTTTCCGGTCAGCTTGGCACCAAGACTCAAAAGCTGGCGCTCCAGTTGAGTTACCCACCACAGAATCCTTGCCGATTAGATGATTTGTTGAACTAGATAAGAGGTTAGCTAGATCTTTGGATAAGGGCATTGTAACATCATCACCGTAAACATTGTAGCCATTGAGGAATGAGGCAGGCTTGAGAGGATTATGAGGATTTTCAACGGTAGTAGAGGATTGTGAACCTGACCGAATGAGTAGACCTCCGCTCACCACATCCTCGATCTCATTGCAAGTCCGAGTGGAGCCTGTAAGTGTTCCGCCTTATATAAAAGTGGTTGGATAATATAAGTGTTAGTATGTAGCGAAGTTTGAAAGAAGATAAAAGTTATACGGATTATAAGATAACCAACGTCAAATGTTTATTATCGAGTTATTGCAAACTCAACTTGGCCCGAGTCGGGACCGACAAATTTAAAGCCTAAGGCAGGGAGTAGAAGAGATTATTACTTCTGCTTCTAATCTATTTTATGGTGATGGGTAAAAAGCCATTCTTATAAGTTGTAATGCCATCATCTGCTGAGTGATATAACGCAATCCCCTCTTTTTATCGACAACAAAATGGACATTATAAATAAAATGGGCAATTAACTCAATTATTGTATAGTTTAAATATAATAAGGAAAGAAAAATGTAATAAAAGAAATTACATATCATTTTGACTAAATTTCCCAGTTAATTAGATCCAAAATACATTTTGCCCATCTCAGAATGTTTACTCAAATAGCAAGATGAATTGTAAGACTGTGGACACTAGAGATGCCAAAATTATGCAAAATAGTTTAAGAAATAATATTAATCTTATGTAAGCGAAAAGGTTCTGCAAATATTTAGCCACAATATGATGTGTGCAGTAGACACATCTAATTCGATTTAGCTTAAATAGCCACATCTTAGGACATGATGTCTCTGCAAGAATATTTGACTAAGGGTAAGCTAAAGAGGCTTAAATAAGAAACAAGTCTTAATATGCAAGCCACTAGTACTTTTGCAGTATAAATATTCCACGTGATGGAGATATTTTGCAGAGTATCATATGATATGCAGAAGAATAAGCAACCCCATTGAATGAGAACATGACCCCTGGTCTAATAGCATATATCTTTCTTCTTTAATTATTTTCTCACCTTTTATGTAACTGTGGCATAGCTCCCTACCGAGATTTACAACTTATCACTCGTTGCTGATCAGTTGTAACTCTGTGCTGACGATGGCGCCTCTCACTTACGATGCCGGAGATACGTCTGTGAATGTACCAAGTCAACAGTCCGATGCTGACAATAATGAATACTGTGACAAAGGACGCAGGATTAGGTACGTTTCACAATACCCTCCCGTTGTCCCGACCAAGTTGCGAAAATAAGAGCAAACCAACATTATTTTCAAGTCTGTCTGCGGACCAACAGCACTCACACGAATATGAAGCCAGTATATGATAATGGATGCGATATTGTATTGTTAACTTACTGTCTTAATGGGGTCTCCTAGTGATAAAATATCAAATCTATGTCAAGCACTCTAACCTGTCTATCACTACCCAAAGTACCCACTTAAAAGCGCTCGATCTCAAATCTTCTTCCAACGCTGTGAACTTGAGATCTAATTAGGATAAAAACGATTTCAAGCAAGATGGTAGCCAAAATACCTGGTACATTGTTTATGCTATTGCGCAAAAAATGAGGAAAGGTGTCGACTTAAAAGGTAATTTGAACAAATGGATGGATGGATAATGCAACACGAATTTTCAAATTATGTTTTCCCTAAATTTAAATATAGCAATTGCTAGTGTAAGGAAAGCATCCACTAATTTGCTAGTGCCGAAGTAATCCTAAAATTGCAAAATACACTTGGCTTATCTCTTAGTTGGTCAATGTATTACAGTAACTTAGCATTCATACACGGCAAATAGTGTAACATAATGCACTACTGTTTGAGTATCCCAGACTTTAGAGTGTATCAAAATTAATAAACAATAAAGAATTCGGAGTTGATTTTGATTTTATAAGGTTGAAATTATAATACTTTACCTATAATATCGTTTGCACTATCCGAGTAGATTAAGTGTCCCCAATTCACTCTCTCAGCTTTTCCAAATCTTGTCCAGTCAATATCTAAGTATGAAAAGATAATTATAACCAAAATTACTCATCTGATATATATTGACAAAAAAATATTAAATCATAGGATTAAGAAAATAAAAATGTTATGAAAGAGTCTGGTGAAATTTTTTATTAACAAATACAAATTATTCAGATCACGTAACTTAGGCTAGGTGAGCCAATATTTATTTTAGAGCAGCATACATAAATTGGGACTCAAATTAAATTTATAGCCGATTTTCACAATTACATGGACTAATTCCTTAAAATCTTCCGTATGACAGCATATTTAATTTCAAATTGGCGAACAAATTTGATATTTTGAGACAAAACAGTACAGAACTACATTCAGCATCAATACCAAGGTATAAATGTGATTACAATGACATACAAACACTGAATTGCAAGCAAAAGCCCTACCCCAAGTCATAACTAATAATCCAAAAGGATATAAGTAACCAAAATATGAAGATAGAGCAAGAGAAACAAAAATCAATAATTAACAAAACAAGTAATTATAATGCGAAAGTTTCGAAGGTCAATTTACTGAATCCGATAAAGAGCTTAATAAAATCCTTAAATTGTATTGGAAAAACAGAAATTTCGTTTTTATATTTTTAGGTAAAGATAGAATAAAAAATAGCTTTTACATAATGCTTGTCGCCTATTGGAGATATGAGAAAAAATATATCAAATTTTTTTCGAATAACGCACTATCAAACATCTGTTTCAAATGGCCATATGGCACAGATTTTTTAGTAGAATTGACATTAGTAGAGATCGGTTGTGTAGTTTCAAAGCAGTCTTCCTTTGATACAACACCGGAGAAAATTTCGATTCCGGCTTCAGGTTCACTATCAAAATTAGTGTCTGATTCGTCTATATCCATCTTCTCTCGCTCAATATTGATTTTCTCATCACCATCCTCTTTGGCGGAAAAATGCTCAGCTTCTTCCTCACTATCCTCGCTATCGTGAATCAAGGAGAGACTGTCGTCTGAAGCACTGCTCAGACTGTCAAGAGAGGCTCGCGAAGATATTAAGGGGGCACCAGAAAGCATCTGAATTGAATGATCTTCTAAATTTTCCTGTAGACCAGGAATTATGAAATGCGCCTTCTCAAGTTCGACAGTCATTGCTCTGGTTAGACCTGACTGTTGGAAGTGAGTGTTTTGTCCAGTACTTCCCGTGAGTCTTGACGAGTTACTAAGGTGGTGGCTGCCACCTAAGTCAATGTAGGTAGCATCGTGATCAAAAAGCACACCACCGATGTTAGACATTGGAGCATAAATCTGGAAAATACATCAATGAATAAGCCATTTAATGATTTAAATGCATTTTTAATTAAGGTAAAGTGCCTGTTGGATAAAAATTGAAAGATAAGGCAATTATCCAACGTTGTTAACGAATGCGAAATGATAAAACAACTAAATAAAATTCATTTGAAATGAAGAGGAAATATGATAAAAATTATTGTATTTAAAAAATGGGTAAAGTAATGATCAAGCTGAAGAGCCTTAAAAAATGAAGTCCTATATTACAGTCTAGTGACAGGTTACAATCCTTCCTCACCTCGTCAATTGGCCCTGATAGAGGACACCACATCTAGCTTATAACGCTTACTTAGCTCCTAAAAAAATAGTTAATATCCCTACTCATTAAGTGCGAATTGTGCCATTGAGCCTTTCATACTGACCATGCCAAGCCAGTTCATTATACAGGAACCAACCAGATGTTACGAAAACACACAAGGCAGGTAATTAATTAAGCGACAATATAGATAAATGCTACGTAGAATATGGTATCCATTCTAACAAGACCGTCTGCTCGCTTAGGCATCAAGTTAAACCTTAAATTGATTTTAAATAAAAAATGGAAGCATACTTTGATTGCGAGAAATAAGGCTAGCAAATTATCATGAACTATGTCAAGTGATAAAATAGATTTATATAATTGAGACTGTTATAATTCCAACTAACCTTTCGATCTCTCTCTGATAGATGTTTCACAAACTTTCTAGCCGTTGCCTCTTGACTCGGCACACCAAATGCCGATCTTTGATCGTAAGACACTACTTGATTAAGAGTTGGGCACGGGTCTGCTTGAGGAATTGCTAAAAGCAAGCTGAAATCATTGCACCCGGCGATATGTAAACGGGGACCACCAGGAGGAGGCCGAAGACTAGCACCGCGGACGTATCCATACAAACCAGCATGACAGGAATTCGGGTCTTGCGCTTCATTGGCAAATTCGGCACTTACATCTTCTAAGCGGTCAATCAAGAAATATGGGTGGGAATTTCGCCAATCCGTGGGCCTTGGAACTTTAACTATGATGAGTCTTGCCAGACGTCGAACCTCGGCAAGCAAATAGTCACCGTAAATTTCACTATTCGAATTACTAGCCTGTAAAATTGCTTTGTGATCTAAGTAAAATTTTAAAAGTAGTTGAGAAAAGTAATAAGAAATATGGATTTTATGAATTAAAATGATAAGAAATATACCTAAAGTGCGATCAAGATGAAGTAAAATTGGACCTCTGGAGTAATTATATTAAATTATAATGCAAAAGTCAAATCGTATTTTCAATTAAGTGTAGACTTTCAAGGTAACATAAACAACCAGTCCGAGCATATGTATATAGTTTAATTGCATTTATATCAGAAAGTAGAGAGAATACATCTATTCACAAAATGAGTAAATAACTTACACTTTTTAGGCTGGAACTTGGTTAGCATAAAGATCTTAGCATTCAGATCAACCCATAATCTCTGTTTAATTTTCTTTCTAATAATTCTCGTTGAACTATTGTCCTTAAATGTATCTAGATGGTTGAGAATTGGGATGACTCTAGGCATTCCGTGAGTCT